AATCCTTAACTTTCTTTGTGAAAAGATCTCGGGAAAGTAAAGGCTATCCCAGTTAGACTAAAATCTTATTTTTGATGGCCCTCAGGCATGCAACAACTCGAAGCGAACCGTATCGATCGACTCAGTCGCTAAGACGCGCAGTCAAAACAAAACTCTGGAGACCTCACTAGCCTCACTTTTGCGCAACTAGACCCGGGCCGGCCGAGAGGTCCGCCATATTTGCATTCGGTGTATAGTAAATCTTGTGGCTAAAATCATGCAAAGTGCTTATTTACGTGTTATTTTTCATGTCAAGCACAAAAATTGATTTCCAATTCTTGGTAAAATCCAAGATGGCGACCATTGTTGGTGACGTCACAGGCCCCCAGCAGCGCCACCCCCTATAAAATATACCTCAACTCGTAGAGAAGATCAAAGGCTTTCCACTAAAGGTAAAATCGTTTCGAAATACTGCAACATATCAAAAACTCTAAGGGGGATTCCATCCAACCCCCCAGCCCTCTTACCACGGTGGGGGTACGAATTTGTGTATACGTTCAAAGGTTAAATTTGTGTATGATCTTGTTATCTGAAATCACAGAGGACCGTGAATCGGGGTCAATGCACGGTGGTCGGTCGCTAGGGCTTTTCCTCCCGCACCTCTCAAAAATGAGAGTTTTAGGCACAAGACAATAAAATGAATCAAAGGTGACGAAACTTGGCAGGGAAGTAGGCTGATAAATGACCTTTCAATTGCTTTTATTTCTTCCCTGTTGTGACGTCATAGATGATGTCCAAATTTGGTATTAGAATAAAAATTCAGGTAAGAAATGGTAAAAAATTTATATTGGTTTTCTGCATAGATTTCTATGATATCTGTTGAAAATCCCATCTAAATCGGATTAAAAGGCGTAAGGTTACAGATAATTAAAGAAATTTAAATTTCTCGCCAAATGACCATATATGGTCAAAATTAGAGGTATTTTAACCCTTCGACGACTGCTTTGGTCGTTTTCGTTCCATATGGAACGATGCATATCTTCCTTCCTGGAAGCATTTAGCTTTCCATTTAAGTTAATAAAATAGTAAGCAACAAAGTCAGCAAAGACAGGTCTTTCTAGTGATACCTCGTTTTGGATATTCTGACCAATCCTGACAGAGTTACACTCACAACAAAAGGTAACATTTTGGGGAAAAATCCACTGCCAATTTTGCTGTTTACATACGACTCCTTGAAAAGTAAATTTGCCCCTTTCCTAAAAGTTTAGCCAGCCACAATTTCAAGCAAAGAAAGGCGATAAAGTGGGCTACAAAACCGCCAATAAAGAAGGAAAAGAAAGGGAAAAAAGAGAGCGAGAGAGAAAGATCGAAATAGATTCGCAAAAAAAAGTCCAAATTTTGGCTTTTGCGCTTGCCCGAAAAACAAAAAAGTTGTTTTATTACGTCAGATTAGGCGGAAATATGCCTTTTTCCTTACAAAACTCGTTTTTAGCTACTATTATGCTAATTAGCCGAAAACCAGTCCAAATAACAGGAATTGGTGAAAATGCAGTTTTTTCGCTACTCACCGACCGTCACAAAAGGGTTAAACTCGACAACAATGGATGTATTGGCACAGGATCAAGGACAACGTTGCAAAAAATCAATTTGTAGTTTTTTTTTCACTAAGGGTAGGTGGTAGCCAGAATTTCATCCGATTGCTTCGAGTCGTTTTCTCCTCTCAGCAACGACTGAATAGACCGGCCGTTAATGCCGTTCAGTGACGTAATCACTACCCGAAAACCGGGTAGTGATTTTGATTGGTTGATTGTCTAAACATTCGCATAATTATGTATAATTATGAACAATTTCAGCGGATCGCATCCCTGGCATGCGTGCGTGGAGTTCAAACATTTCGATAATCTTTATCTTAAACATCAAAACTGTCCTCGTCTTCGAAACCAAAATGTTAAATTGAACTGCGACTGAAGAATCATTGTGGAG